CAGAGACAAACAAGTAAAAGGTTGGACTGACCTTTTTGAGGAGTCCATGGTAGAAATAATACCTGGGGGAGGGGGACTCAAACCTACAAAGCTGATGATTAATGCAATTGGGGGGAAACAGAGTGAACAGGCATGGGGATTGGATTTATTGGACTTAAAAAGAAAAACTCCAGTGTGTGAGCAGGGGTGTAGTGATGTTCTTCAGGATTTAAGGGTTTGTTATATGTACTGTTGACCAGTTCCCACTCCCCAGCAGGTCTTTAAGTACCACCACCATCACTACCACTTTCACCACCCTCACCATCACCATTATCACCACCCTGATCACCACCATTATCACCACCCTCACCACCACACCCTCATCATCACCACCACCATCACCACCACTTTCACCACCACCATCACCACCACTTTCACCACTGCCACAACCAATATTACCACCCTCACTACCATCATCACCACCATCACCAGCATCATCATCACCATCATTACCACCACCACCACCACCACCACCACCACCACCATGGCACAGCTACAATAACTCAGGGCCTTGAAGGACTTGAAGGACTCCGGTTAGAAGATTCTGGCCTCTTTACCAAGCTCTGCCTCTATTTTCACCTTCTCTCTGAGTTGCTTCTGTCCGCTGCTTGCTCCCTGGCCACCTTTGGGCCTTCCAGCCCACAAACTCTGTGGACTCAGGAGGGAGTTTGCAAGTATACTTCAACAGCCTTGCTTTTCTCTAAGAAAGAAGTACTGATCTTTTATCATTTGCTTTATAAATAACACGAGATGTTAATTAGTTTGACTCATTAAGTTTAAAACAATTGTTACAATTTTGGAGTGCTTGATTAAATTTTGTTAATTATACACAGTTGCTTATGTTGCTGCTCTGGAGAGCAAGAGAGTTTCTCGGGAACATTATTCTCCTCTCCTCCTTGTGCCTGTTCTTCCTGCTTGCCATGGTGGTGCCAGTCCACGCCCAGGGGACATGTTAGCATGTTGTCCCAGGACTTGAAGTGTCTGAAGAAATTGTCTTTTCTGTGGCCAGGCTGCTGAGGGCCAGCCTTGATGCACAATTTAAAGAAGGAGAGAGTGTTTCTATTTCCTCTGTGTCCACCCTTTACTCATTCACTCCAAACCAAATCTGCTTTCAGGGAGGAGGGATCATATGAGCCTAGTTAGAGGGAGGCAGCAAGGACAGATTAGCAGTGGCACACCAAAAAAATGAACTTTAAATGTGGAATTTCAGCTTGTCAAAGAAGTAAGGTGGTATAGGGAGGGGTAAAGGTCCCTTCCTCTGAATACTCTTAAAGGCTCTTTAATAGTTATCCCTGTGTCTTGTCCCTTCCCTCTCCTCCACCTGCCCTTTGCTCAAGACCCAGCTCAAAGCTGATCTCCCACTGGAACCATCCTAATGCCCTGTGCTCCGTCTGCAGTGGCCTGACCACATGCTGCCCACCTTGCCTGCTTAGCAATGGGTCCCCTCCTCCTCCTCCTCCCCCCACTCTTCACTCTAGACTGTTAGCTTCTCAGCAGCAGGGTAGCGCAGCCATAGCCCTGGCTGTTTCCTAGCATCTGACACAGTGGCATTCAGGAAGTGATTTTGGACTAAATCCAACTGTGCTCCTGCTATTTGAAAAGGATAATAGTTTTTAAACATGGATAATATAACTTTCTTCATAAGATAGGTAAGAGGTTGTTAATTCTCTACTCCTTGAATTCACGTGTTTCTTAGACTCCAACCCTGGAGACACATCAATTGGTTGGATAATTTTTTTTTTTATAAGAATAAAATACTGGCTGAGTGAGGCGGCTTATGCCTGTAATGCTAGCACTCTGGGAGGTCCAAGGCTGGAGGATCACTTGAGCCCAGAAGTTTGAGACCAGCATGAGCAAGAACAAGACCCCATCTCTACTAAAAATAGAAAAAAATTAGCTGGGCATGGTGGTGCGCACCTGTAGTCCCAGCTACTCAGGAGGCTGAGGCAGGAGGATTGCTTCAGCCCAGGAGTTTGAGGTTGCAGTGAGCTGTAATGACGCCACTACACTCTAGCCTGGGCAACAAAGTGAGACTCTGTCTCAAAAAAAAAGAGTACCTGACTATTCTAGTCATGGGGTGCAATTGGCTGCATGTACCCTTGGCCAAAAGTCTCCTCCATGGGAAATACAGTTTGTTTGGAGTGAGCGTTCAGATTTCAGCCAGCCGCATGTGGGTGAGTGCAGGAGGGAGGAGCAGTCCCTCCTGGTCTGCTGGGTCAGCCTGGGGCCCAGCTGGAGGGGTGGGCTTTCCTGGCCCCAGCACCTTTCCCTCCAGTGGGGCAGCCTGGGGAGAGAGAGGAGCAGGCTGACGAGCGGGTAGCATCTGATGGGAATGGTGAAGCCATCAGCCCTAGCTGGCTGACTTTAGAATCCATCATGTCTTTATTCACTCGTCTGTTCTGTATCCCACAATTCTAGGATACATGGGTCTGCTTTGTGTGTGTGCTGTGGAAAGAAACTGATTTTTGTCTTTTGTTGTTTAGGGACTGTAAAAATTTACAACAGCCAAGACTTTATTCTAGAATTCTCCTCGTGGTTCTCTCTGAATGGGAAATAGCTTCCCTTTGTTTCTTTTGTTTCTGTTTTGCTTCTGTGGTACTCATGTTCATTACTATTGGCCTTCTAGACGTCAGGGTTTAGCAGCTGTGGCCTTTCCTGGGTGACTTCTCTGGGTAGAGCCTCGTAAAGTACTTCAGACATTGCTGTTCCTTCTGCATGACGTCTCTTTATGACATTATTTTGATGATAAAACGTTTATCCTAAGTTCCTTGATCTTCAAAAAAGTTAACTTACTAATATTCTCTATCACTGTCTTTTTGCATTGTAAGGATAATTAAGGGACATATAGGTGAAATGTTTTAAGCTCAGTGGAAGGGAGAGACCATCAAGATCATAGGTATTACTATGTAGTTTCGTAGTATTACCATATGATCAAGAATAGATTAATTTTGGAAATGATAATTTCATGTTTGGACATTTATTCCTGCTTAACCACTGTAGTTGGCTTTGGCTTGATAAATAAATGGGAAATGATCACAAATGTTTTTACTACATTTTTTGTTTGCTGTTTTTTTTTAAATTCTAAAAATAAATAAGTCTTTAAAATGAGTTGATTAAAAAGGTTCATTTTCGGGGAATGTTAAGCATCTGCAATAAATAATAAATAATATGGTAGCAGTTGGCTGCCTCTACTTTCATGCAAAATAAATAAATACATTTGGTGACATACATTTGAGGAATGTGATTCTTGTAATTTTTATGGAAATAAGGAGCATCTTTACAGATGATAAAGATTTTACCATCTGCTAGTAACAAAGAAACATAGCTCATAACACACAGTGCTTACTGAGTTTAATGTATATACTGGCATGCCAGGAATTGGAATTCTCTAAAACGTAAGCCAGCCATCCCCAGGGAAGCTGACCTGACTTTCAGCATGTCAGAGGAAAGGTTTCTTTGCTTCTGAAGCATATGGCATGGTCTTCACATTGCTCAGATGGCAGAGGAGTGAAGAGGGCTGAGCTTTCATGGTGGGAGATGAAGAGAAATGCACTCTGTAGGCTTGTGAGTACCTGCACAATTTTCACTTGTGATTAGAATGGTGGACTCACTGCTGAGAAGCTACTGTCTTTATGAGTCAGAACATTTAGCGTTGGTGGAACGGTGAAAGTTCAGATGCTTGGGGAGATAATGGTGGGGGGTGGGAAGTCCAGCCTTTCTTTTATAATGACATCTGCTTTAAGCAGGTGACGTTTTAGCTCCCTAGACATGAAATATCACATGGGGGGGTTGTGGTTCTAGTGCAGGAGAGGGAGTGTGGGGGTCACCTGTAAGAAGGAATCAATGCTCAGTGGAGGCTGCAGAACTGCCTACCAAGGAAGAAGGAGAAGACCAAAGGGAAGGCATCTCAGAAGCATTGCCTCTCTTTTTGAGTTCCCTTTGCTCTCCTTTGAAGAAGTGGGATGATTGTCATTGTGGGTCATTCTGGCTTCACCTGATGGCATGGATGCATGGCCACAAGCATTATGGCGGTCCCATAAAAAGACGGCCAGTGCATTTCTATTGGTAGATTATGGGTAGGCAGTCCTGAGGGTGTTTAATCCTTCTTAGTATTAGAAGCCACAGGCTGGGTATGCTGGCAGAACCTCATTAGTGAATTTTATCTACCAGTGGTTTACATCTTGGAGTGCTTTAGGGTACCGTCAATCTTAACCACTTCAGTACGGCGTTCACCGGCCGCAAAAGCTTGCCCACAGCCGGCACTCATAGTCGCACGATAGTCTGTGCTGTGCATTGACGACGAGTCCGTTTTGCTCTTGTGTGATGAGGAAAGCTTGAAAGCACTGAAGGCTTGTTTTACTTTACAGGCAGCTTTACTTGTAATGTAAATCAGAATAGGTAACATATACATATATGTTTTCATTATGTTAGTTTCAAATGTTCACAATTTTATTTTGATAAATGAAAAAGTAGAAAAGTCATATCATGGCTGTCGGCTAAAGTCACTCTGCGCGTTCATCTGTGGCTATCGACTATAGTCGACGCTGGTACTGAAGTGGTTAAAGGGGTTGGGGAATGAGGCAGGTTTAGTCAAAGAGCAGCACCTTCCCTCTTACCTCCTACTTCTCCAAATAATGATAGAACCCTTAATCCCAGACCTTGGAAATGTGTCAAGCCTGCCTAATTGATTTTGGCTTTTATCGTGTTGCCTTTGTCTTAAACATCTAAGCTGTGTTGCACAATCAGTAGTGTTTGCAAATGTGTCTTCATTGCTGTGCTGTATTCCTGTCCTCCCCTTTTCCCTCCCACCTCCGGTTTTGACCTCTTTGGACCCTGGTGTTCTTATGCACTTTCCTCTTGGGCTTTGGAAAAAATGGTGACAAATTCATGCACGCTAAGATACTAAAGGCTGATCAGGTTTAAAGTATTTTCCCTTCTTGTGGTGTTTATATTTCTTGCAGGGGCGAAGACATCTTAAACCAGAGGAATGACTCTCTAGTTGTGGAATTTCAGTCTTCAGCCAGCAGATGCAGGAGGTATTATTCTGGGTATGGGGGCCTTCTCAGAAGCCCAGACATCATCCTAAATGACCACCTGCCTGCTCCATCCTACATAAGGCCGCTTTGTGCATCATACCAGTCTTGTATATTTAGTTGGCTTGACCTGGCTGAGGGCAGCAAGCATGTCTGTGGCAGTTTCTATATGAAGTTTAGCACCGTAGGTGCTTCACAGAAGGTTCTACCTACTGGAAAGGGGAAGAGCTGTGATGCATGCAGTGCAAGCTTATTTTATTTATTTTATTTTTTATTTTTTGACTTTTTACTGCAAATGTTAACATTGGTCCAAAAGTTAGACGTTCGTAGTAAAATTAGAATTCTCCTGTTGGTTAAAGCCCCCGCTTCATGCCCATCCATAGCATGAGTCATGTGTCCTCAGAGCAGTCTCCATTTGAAATGCGTAGAATGTTCGTGAAAGCTGGGGTTTCATATCACAGATGTCCACAAGCAAGGGTGGACCGTCATATCCTCACCTTTACATGCAGCCTTGTTCTGCAAATAAAGAGTGTCATTCCCATCTTGTGCCTCCCTTATGCTGGTGACTGTCACCACAGCCCACCCGGAGGGTTCTCAGTGATGCCGATGTCAGAGCTTGGAGCCTCTCAGTTGGTAGATGATTCCAGAGACTGCAGCCCTCCTTTATATGAAGGTCACTGTTGGACTCCCAAATCTAATAACTTTGGGTAATGTACTAAGGATGAATTAAAATGCTAATAGGCTGCATGTTCTGGATATCTTAACATTCCCTAATCTTAAATTTAAATTAAATGCCTTAGGTGCTGTAGCAGCCTTGCCAGAAGCATGTGTAGCATCACCCCTTAGACAGTGAATTTAAAGTGCAGTCTGGCCACACCAGCAGAGCTAGGATAAGCAATGTTTATTTTACAATAATCGTTTTTCTATCCCCTATAGCTACATGACACAAATACTCTCTCTTTTACTAAAGATAGGTATTTAGCTTTAAAAAAAATCACTATTTTTATAAGTTACTTTGAAGCCACAGATCCTTTTATTATTAACAATATTTTAATAGCAATACATTAGATTTTGTGGTACCCAAAGCTGTTTCACTTTTATAGATTGCCTTCACATTTAAACCTTATAACAACACCATAAAACACCCCTGCTTTACAACAAAGACTCTGGGGATAGAGAGACTAAGTGGCTTTTCCATCGTCACATCTCTGGTTAGGGAAGAACCGCAGTTAGCAGTGGGTGTCCTGGCTCCCAGCTCAGCATCTGCCCACTAGACCAAGAGGGATTCGAAGCACAATGATGGCAAGATCATTTAAACTACATGCTTCTGCTGGGAATTGGCTCATTTTAAGGGATGTGTTAGTTCTTTCTGATTGGTAGTGTTAGTTCTATTGTCTACACTGAGCCAGATTTCTTTGGGAGGGGGCAAAAAAAACCCCAAGTGTATTTCCTTCCCTCACTAAACAGGTTACTTCCTCATCACTCGTTGAATTAGCCCCTTTATTTTCTCCTTATTATGGAGAAAGGAACGCTTTATTTCTTCCTTAGTTCTTCCAGTTATCTGGTGTCTGGCCACTTCATAATTGTATTTTGGGAGAATAGATATTAATTTTCTTCAACAAAAAGGCCGAGTTCCTTGATGACACAACATAATTCAATTTCCTTTCTCTCCCTTCGTTGCCTGCACCCCTTCCCCCTAGCACATTTTTCATAGTTAGGAAGAGTGATGGTGTCAGATATATCAGAAGGAAGAATTGATTCAGTAGTCGTTTGACGACTTGACTGATTAACAGAGATCAGAAGAAGGCTCATAACTGTGAAAACCACTGCAGCATGGAGTTGTAACAGCTCTTTGGGGAGCTAGTTAATGAAAGAATCACTACAGAAACACAGCCATGCAAAAAAAAAAAAAAAAAAAGAAAATAGAAAAAAAGAATAGGAGCATTCCCATATAACACTCAGAGGCTATGTCACAAGAGGAAATATGCTCGTAATTTCTATTTACACATCACTGTAATTACCGTCTGCCTTAAGATTACTTTCAGTCTTCCCCTGTCACAGTTGCTTAGATAGTTCCTCTTTCACATATCAGGAAGAGAAATCTAGTACTGGTTGGAACTCATCCTAAGGGATTTTCCCCCCCTGAAGAACGTAATTTTCAGGAGCTGGAGCGCGCACTGCCTGATTCGACTGGCTTTAATCTGCTCCATGCTCTTGTTACCATCACCATTTGTCCAGGAACCAGACTTCCGTGCTCAAATGAAGGTTGCACTGGGCTTTGCCCTTTAATTTGTGTGTGTGTGGTTGTTCTCTTTTCTTTCTCCTGATGCAGTGTCTATGAGCCAGATAGAAATGCATTACGGAGGAAAGAACGGGAAAGAAGAAATCAGGAAACACAGCAGGATGACGGCACGTTTAATTCCAGCTACTCTCTCTTCAGTGAGCCTTACAAGGTAGATGGTTTTCAGCTGTTCACCTGCAGCCTCACTCATACCCTAACTCCCTGTGATGGCATCTTAGTTGGAAGAGTGGGCCAACCAAACTGCAGTTTGTTTTCTGCCTGTTCAGCCTGGGGAAGACAGCTCAGCTACTAAGTGTGGTCTTTCCCAACAAATCACGTCTTTACTGGCTAATCCGTTAGTAAAAAGTAACTTTTGTTTAATATTGAGGTCTTCATCTCTGCGTTGACATTTCAAAGTCAGTGCCATTTGTTGTTTCCTAAGCTCTTAGGAAACAAACATGGATCATCCTAAGATCAGGATACCTGGTAGGGCTAAAGAGAAAGAAACTGTAAGATAATCTCTCATTTTTACCAAGGGCCTGAAATAAAACCTTGTCTCTAAAATGAAATAGCTTCCCAGAATTCACTGGTATCTTAGAGCTGCATGGAGCTTTGGGCCATTAGTGCCATGTTCCATTTAAATGTCACCTGGACTTCTCTTGCCTGTCACTCTGGGTTTCTGACAAAGATAATTATATATTTAGAAATTGGGAACAGACCAATCCTGAGCCAAATCTGAATTTTCAAGAAAAGCTTCCAGTGGGATTACAAATAAGCAAAGAAAAAACAGTCCTGAAAGACTTTAATCTAGACCGTTTTGTGAAGTGGCAGTAATAAATTTTCTGATTTCCAGGTAATATATTTTAGGTGCAACACAATACCAAGGATAGACTCCTTTTTTTAATGTACCCTAAGGCCATTCCAGGTTTCCAGTTCTGGTGTGATGCCAAGTGCTGACAGACATCTTCCGAAATGATAAGGATTTTGATTTCATCTCTCAGCTCTCATTCTGAATGTGGCAACCCTGCCCTGTGATTGACAAGGGAACCTGTCTGTTATTTCCCATGTTTCTCTTGTCTCTAACAATAGCGTGGATGTGTTTTTCTTTCTCCAGACTAACAAGGGGGATGAGCTCTCCAATCGGATCCAGAATACTTTAGGCAATTATGATGAAATGAAAGACTTTTTAACTGATAGATCCAATCAGAGTCATCTCGTTGGCGTTCCCAAACCTGGAGTGCCTCAGACTCCTGTGAACAAGATCGATGAACATTTTGTTGCAGATTCAAGAGCCCAGACCCAGCCCTCGTCTATCTGTAGCACTGCATCTTCCACACCAGCAGCTGTCCCTGGGCAGCAGAGTAAGAGAGGCACCATGGGCTGGCAGAAGGCTGGGCATCCTCCATCCGATGGCCAACAGAGAGCAAGTAAGCACAGGCACATGGGCACAAATCCACTAACCCAAAGAACCATGATAAAAAACTTAATCACTCTGTATTCAGCCCCTCATCCTCATCATCTTCCTCTTCTTCTTCTTCTTCCTCTTCCTCCCACTCAGCACAACAGGGCTCTCTGAGGACCTTGCTTGGAGATGGTGGTGGCAGACAGCAGCCGCGGGCCAAACAAGTGTGCAATGTAGAGGTGGGTCTTCAGACCCAGGAAAGGCCACCAGCCATGGCAGCCAAGCACAGCAGCGGTGGACACTGTGTTCAGAACTTTCCTCCATCCTTGGCTTCAAAGCCCAGCTTGGTCCAGCAGAAACCAACTGCATATGTGCGGCCCATGGACGGCCAAGACCAGGCTCCTGATGAATCTCCTAAGCTTAAGTCATCTACGGAAACCAGCGTGCACTGCACATCATACAGGGGCGTCCCAGCCAGCAAGCCGGAGTCCGCTAGAGCCAAGGCCAAGCTTTCCAAGTTCAGCATCCCCAAGCAAGGAGAGGTGAGTCTTTTCTCAATACCATTTATATGCAGCTAGGTACTTATGAGTGACTACTTGACTATTGTAAATTCAATTTCCATGTTTCTTTTCTCCAGTGACCTGGCAGACTTCATGTGGTAGAATTTGTAGCAATCACTAAAGGGGAAAGCAGACATATGTAATGATTTCTTAAAAATCTCAAATTTATTATACTTGGAATTTTTAAAGCACCAATAAATGCAGTTCTCTGTGGTTGCATGTGTGTGTATGTATTAGTTAGGGAAGGAATGCCTCCTTCAGTATTGTTCAAGGGGTTTTCTTGTGAACAACTGTTGACTGAGGTATATTATATACTAGAAATAAAAGCCCTTCAAAGGCTATAATTTTTAATACCTAAAGAGGTAAAAATTTTTATGCAAAGGAGTTCAGAAATTCTTTTAATATTTTCATGTTTTGAAATATTCCAGGACAAACTTTATAAGCTAAACCTCATAATGATTTTTAAAGTAATTATTTAAATGATTTAATAATGAATATAGTGAATATTGAAATGTGTCAGATATCCCATCCTCTTTCATACTATATTCAAAATTGATGATGGTTATAAAGAGCACATGAAGAAGAAATAGGACTATGCACATTTTTGTTGTTTTTTTGCTGTGATACAGTATATTAAGTAAAATACAGTGTGAATTCTAGAACATTATGCTTAGGAGCTGCTTATTTTATTTTTATTTTTGACCTATTCTTTAAAGACAGTAAGAGTATGGCCAGAATGTTCTTTGTATCTTAATTTAATAACCAAATGAATAAATGATTTGACATTTTTTGTTCTATTTCTGACAATATTGAGGTTAAACATTTCTGAACTGTCATCTCAGAAATCACCATAGACTGATTGGGAGATCAATATACCATCCTTAGAGAAGACATCTTTTTCATACTGAGATGTGTGCCCTAGTTTTATTGAGGAAATAAAGTGACATGTATACTGGTAACTTCTTTTGATTGCACATTTATGATGGATTCTAGAGAATGTTCATTATGAATTAATGGAAGCAATAAGTTATTTTTGTAAGCATTTATTGTTTTAAAAGTTTGTAGGAAACACACAAATACCATCTTACAAAACTGAATTCATCTTACAAAACTGATTCATCAATAATTCTTTGAATTTTGTTATCATCATCAAATGACCAGTACTGGCAAATAAAAGCATGGCTTATCCTTGAACAGTGCTCACTAACTTTTACAACCACCAGGAATTCCTTTATAATTTTAACCCAATTGACTTATTTATTTATTTACATTTTAATTTTTATAGATTGAGGGGGGTGTAAGTGCAGTTTTTCAAATGGATATATTGTAGAGTGGTGAAGGCTGGGCTTTTAGGTTACCTGTCATATGAATAGTGTACATTGTACCCAACAGGTAATTTTTCATCCCTCACCCCCCTACCCTCAGCCTCCCACTTTTTGGAGTCTCCGGTGTCTATTATTTCACTTTGTATATCCATACGTACCCATTGCTTAGCTCTCACTTATAAGTGAGAACATGTAGTATTTGATTTTCCATTCCTGAGTTATTTCACTGAAGATAATGGCCTCCAGTTCCATCCAAATCATGTCTTTTTACTACAAATGACATGATCTCATTTTTTATGCCTGAGTAGTATTCCACGGTGTGTGTGTGTGTGTGTGTGTGTGTGTTTGTGTTTGTATGTATGTATGTATACATATATATATATATCACATTTTATTTATCAAATCATTGGTTAATGGACACTTAGGTTGATTCCATATCTTTGGAATGACTGTGATAAGCATGAGTGCAGATATCTTTTTGATATCATGATTTCTTTTCCTTTGGGTAGATACACAGTAGTAGAATTGCTGGATGAAATGGTAGATCTATTTTTAGTTCTTTGAAAAGTCTCCCATACTATTTTCCATAGAAGTTGTACTAATTTACATTCCCACCAACGATGTATATGTGTTCCCTTTTCTCTGCATGCTCACCAACATCTATTGTTTATTGACATTTTAACAATGGCCATTCTGACTAGAGTAAGATGGTATCTGCACAGCAAAAGAAATAATCAACAGAGCAAATAGAAAACCTATAGAATGGAAGAAAATATTTCCAAAGTATGCATCTGACGATGGGCTAATATCCAGACTCTACAATGAACTCAAACAACTCAGTAAGAAAAAAAAAAAAACAAACATTAAAAAAGGACACGAAAAAAGGACATGGGCAAAGGATATGAACAGACATTTTTAAAAAGAAGACACACAAATGACCAGAAAACATGAAAAAATGCTCAACATTATAACCATCAGAGAAATGCAAATTAAAACCACAATAAAATACCAATTGACTTCTTGTTAAAATGAATTTTATCTACCAAAGAAAATTCCAATTTATTAGGTAATAATTTACTTGCTTATTTCTTTTGGAATCCAGTGAGTTGATAAAACTCTGGTTAAAAGGAGAAAATGAATCTTTGATTGCCAGTACACCCTTATGCAGGTAACTGTGCAGTTTTCATGAGGCTTTTGGGTATGTTATTAATAACTTGGACACTTTCACAATACCTTTGAGGACTCCAGATTGGGAATGACATGTTGTGTACTAGTGTTCGGTCATCCTCGAAAGAGGGACGTGCCTGAGACTGAGAGTCAGACTGAGAGAAATTAGAAATTTTATATTTGGAAAGTGTTACATTTCCCCTACAGGTGATGACGTTGAACTAGTGAACCTGCTCTCCTTAGGAGACCAATCTTGAGTTGATAGAGGAGAAATAAGAAGAGAGGGTTTGTAGGACAAAGTTATAATTGGTGGGCTTTTGTTGGTGGGGGAGATGCAGTCTTTATTTTACTAAAAAGCATTCCATGTTAACAAAATTATTATAATTTGAATCCTGTACCATGTATCTATGTAATCCGCCCACTGCCACAAGAAGAAAATGAATCTTTCACAGTTAGCATCAGAATAGTGTCTGTAAGTTACTCTTCCTGCCCTTCAAACTCAAAGGGTTTGGAGGGAGTTTTTGACAATATTCCAAGAGGAGATTAAGAAATACCCTTTTGCAAGTATATCGTTCAATATTTACAGGCTCTTCTTGTAAAATCCACAGTCATAACATAGAAGCTTAAGAATTGTACCAATTAGATTTTACTTTTGAGGAGATGTATGTTTTTATTTTTTGGAAGAGGTGAAACAGTTTAATGTGGTAAACAATTTCAAAAAGATTCATGCCAATATATTTTTTTAATACAGATCCTGTCAGTATGAAAATGTTTTCTCAAAAGTACAGACATTAATTTCCAGTGAGGTAGAGAAGGTATTTTGTAGGGAAATTTCCAGAGAAAATGACCTGAAGGGAACTTGCCTTACTTGAACTATACTTTTTCAGGATGTTAGCTATAGAGCAAGACTCATCACAGTGTGAAGAATTTGGGGGCTGAAAGGAAGTGTTAGGTAAAAATGACGTAAAAACAGCGGGGGGTGGGGGGGCATGTAAAAATAGCTGTTTGGTATTGTGTAGGGACGTTCCTCATAAGAAAGGAAATCAGATCAATGATTAGGTACAATGTGGTGTGAGAAATTAAAAAAAATCTAAGATATAATCTCTGCCTCCGAGAAATTTACATGAATTGAATAAATTAGACTCTAGCACATAGCATTTAATTTGCAGTTTCTCTCACAGTCCAAACTAAATTTAAAATTGGCCTTCTAGCCCTAGGAAAATTCCCTCACCTTCATCATCTATGTAGTAGAAAAATAGTTCTGTGTTATTTTTAAAAATAGGGAAATTGTGAATCTCTTTTGCCTGATTTTACACTTCATAAACTCTTCATTCTTTTCTGTACAACATCTGCACTCGATCTGCTGGCATGGCAAATTATTTGTTATAATTCTTTAGTCTTCAATAATAGGCAATTAGTGTAGAAAAATCCAGTGGAAGTTAAAGACCTCAAGAGAATTCCTTAACTGATACACCTGCCTCTTGGCTGGTTTTTCCTGGCTCAGTTTGTGTTTAATGAAAAACATTTTTGTTGTTATAGCTGAGTCTTTATTCTCGATGCCACCCCTCATTAAGTGAGCCTCCCCGGGAGTGCCACTTGGAAAGGTGTCACTGTTAGGTGAGAAACAAGGCACTTAACGAATGGCCATAACATGCATTCTAGAATGTTCTAGGGCAGGGGATACTACATTTTATTTCCAACTGAATTATTTTTTGTTTCATATACACCCACAAATTAATATTTTATACTCAGCATGTAATTTCAGACCCAAACATTGGGGATGATTAACTAAGAGGGGTGGATACAGGTTTTATGGGACCTAAAATTTGTACAGACTTGGGGATCCTCTTTAGGAATAAAAGCATAGAAAAATATCTTATACTTGCAGTTTTTTCAAAAACACATAATTGTGTTAACATACTCCTGGGGCCCCTCCTGGGGCCTTAGAAGCCCTGAAGCTTAAGCATCATTAACTTAATGTTGTATCTGTCAGTGGCTCATGGAATAATAAGAAATTATTATTAAAATGATAATTTTAGATTTGAAAAAAGTGCTTTATATTTAACCTCAAACTTGGTGGAATTTAAAAATACCTATGTATTTGCTAGGTGCTATGAGTAAGGCAGAAAATAGGACAGTGCCGTGAAACACCTAATACACAGAGCCATTGGAACAAAATATGGGTCTCATGGGGCTTTGCAGCCAGTTTGTTTGGCAGGTTACAGCTTCAGCAGTGGTATTCCAAAACCTCATATTTTAGTTTTTGCCTTGCTATTAATTTAATAAATAGTGATGATTTGAAACTGCTATTGCAGAGGGCTCTGATGGCTGGGAATGGAAGTTATTTGACAAGCCAGGGAAGCAAAGGACACCAGTGGCTGCTGCCCATAGCTTAGTGATATAAGGAAAGACGCACCTAATTTTGAATGTCAGTCAACAGACTGTGTGTTAAGAGTTTTAGTAGTGGTTGATCCACTAGACAAGAGTAAC